ACACACACACACACACACACACACACACACACACACACCAAACACCAAACTGTTAGCAGCTACTTCAGGAAAGAGAGGTATAAAGTGGGATTATGAGGGAGAAAGTGTTTACCTTTTAATTTTCACAATATGTACTTCCATGTTGTTGGAATTTTTTTTACAATGATATCACACCATAATTGAAAGACTGATTTTTTAAATGTAGTAAATAAGTCAGCCATTATTAACACTTCCTGTGACTATGTGACTACAATTCCAGAATCAAGATGACCAGTGTGTTTGTTTCAGAGAAAGTCAGGGTGGGCAAGAGGAAGTGGAATTTGTTTCTTGGCTGGGAAGTCATGAGAGAGATAGGTGGGGGTCAGCCTTGGTAGTCTGGGATTTTAGTAGCTTGGGCAAAGCTTGTATTGTGGTGTCAGAAATGCAGGCAAGGGGGCTGGGATATGGCTCAGTGGTAGAGAGCTTGCCATGCTTGAGATCCTGGCATGCTTGAGATTCTGGGTTCGATTCCTAGTACTCCTGTCCTTGGAAAGAAAAAGAAATACAGAAAAGAAACCTAGCAAGAATAACCCTGCTGGCTCCTCTGAATATAGTGTTTAATCCAAACTTCCTGGTGCAGGAGGCTCCTAGGGACTGACATCTGTTCTTTCAGGAAAGGAGAGATCTGCTGGGAGCAGGAGGGATAAAGTAAGCCCCATATCCCACCAACTAGCCCTCAGCATGCATGCACAGAGGGCCACACAACCTCCTCCTCACAGAGAAACCCATCCATCCAATATGGATCCCTATTTTGATAGTCACCAAGTCACGATGAACAAGAATCCTTTCTTATTCATTATTGGTATATAGAAATACTCTTCATTCTTTCTTAAGCAGCCGCTGTGTATCATCTTTGACATTCATCCCAAGTTCATTCTAGAAAGACCTCCATGCGTTGAGTCTTTAGGGAGCTAATTTCCCTAAATGGAGGAGCTTTGTTCTGCAAGGAAAATGTCATCTGGAAATAGCATGCTCCTGGGAGGACACACCTGAGGGAGGTGGCCCTGGGAGGCCTGAGGGTACTGAGCAGCTGGGCTGGGCCTTTGAGGAAATGTAAAGCCACATGGTGGACAATGCTGAGGAAGAGGAGGAGGGGTGACACACCACCCTAGAGGCTCAGGCCTGGGGTCCTACTGGTATCACCTGTAAAACACTTCCTGGCAGCCATATCTCTGCCATTCACCTCTCCTGGCACCAAGTCTTGAGGGTCACAAGGTTCTAACCATGCTGGCTCTGCATCCACCCTCCTTAGTCATTCACCTGTCCTAAGTAAAGCCTTAATGATCATTATGGTAAACTCATGGTCTGAGGGCAAAGCTAATGTTTGTGGCAGTTGGAGGCAGGCAGTGGAGGGCTGTGAGTGTCAAGAACATGATTTGGGGGCTGGGCATGTAACTCAGAGGAGGGCACTTGCCTAGCATGCAAAAGACCCTAGGTTCAATCTCCAGCACCGCAAAAAATAAAAAACAGAAAACAACAACAAACGCTATTGTTAAGAGCACGACTTTGGAGTCTGAAAAGTCAGTTCAGAAGGCTCCTGTGCCTCTTCCTGTGACCACCGGGTTTCTCAGTTTCTCCGTGTAAAATGTTGGAAATAATGATACCTGTTTCACAGGGGTGTTGTGAGACTGAATGGAATAAAAGGCAGGAAGCCTTAAACCAATGTCTGGCTTGCCATCTCTCTAGGACCAATTGCTTGGGACTTCTGGTCTCACAGAACAATAGCGCCGCCTTGCGGTTTCTTTCTGCTTGAACACCTCATTAATCTTCAAAACCAATGACTTTCCATAGGAGCCAGGCTTGGTTAAACTCACTACTGTTTAAACAAGTAAGATCTATAGTGGTTAAGTAGGTGTTGGATCTTAGAAAGTTCTAGGAAAGAGACGTTGAAGGGATCTTTTCACTCCCCATCAAAGAAATACCCTTGTTACCCACAACCACTAGCCCAGAACTTCCCAACTTTAGCAGGGAAAAAGAAACAGGGTTTATTGCATTTTTGCAATGCTGAGGATGGAACCCAGATCCTTTCGCAGTCTAGACAAGCAGTCTACTGCTGAGCTACAGTTAACATCCCCAGCCCAGGGAAGGGGTTTTGTTGGCATTAGAATGGAGAAAGATGATGCATAATAATAAAAAAATTTAAATCGCCTCTCTTCGGTCTCCAAGCCTCTGCCCTATAGCTTTTTCCAGTTTCACTCTACATCCTCCCCCACACACACACACACATGTTCACACACACTGCAGTTTTATTCTTTTGCTCTCCTATGTCATCTGGAAAATCTTTCTTTCCTCTTCTCCTTTACCCTAACTTCCTATTGTTAGCTTCTTCCTCTTCCTGCTGCACCCTTAATCCCCACCTCTTCCAAAATTGCAAACAGCTACCCCCCACTCCCATTCTGTGCTTTATTCTCTACCCTTCTTCCTGCTTCATTCTGGTCAGTAGCACTTACCACTAGCATGTCCTCATTGTTTATTGTCTTGCCCCATTTGAATGGGCAATAACAAGGGCAGGGATTTTGTGTCTCTCCATTGCTCTGTCTTCAGCACTTTAAACAGTGCTGATTCATAGTAGGTACTTAATAGTTGTTTGTTGTTGAATTAAATGAGATGGAAAAGATTAGAGAAGCTATTCAGCATGCCATGAATTTCAAAATTAAAACTTATTTTTAAGATAGGAAAGTTATTTCCTAAAGAAAGGATAGGTTTTATGGACAACTAACCAGTGCATACACATAGCTGCACGCATTAGGAGGACCTCACCTGCCGAAGAACCCAGAACATGGGGTCTAATGACTGTGGTTGCGTGTGTGTGTGTGTGTGTGTGTGTGTGTGTGTGTGTGTGAGAGAG